TTCTGACTTAGGTCAGATGTAGGGAGGTTGCCACTACAGTGATACTGCTCTCTTAATACACTCACTTGAATGATTATTTTTTTAACCATCAATAATTACATAGCAATTAATTGCTGTCGGAAGTCACTTGAAGTCTATATCCAAAAGCAAGTTTATTACATCTTGATATTTATAATCTCATATTCCCTTAATCCTCTCTACTTAAGAGAGGAATTCTGAAGTCCAAATTGCTTAAGAATCTTACACTTTTACTTTGTAGGGGAGCACCTCGTTCTGACTTCTTTATGATCTTATATGGAAAAGCTATCGTTATTGCAACTAAGGAATTACATCTTAGGACATGGGCCTCGGCACAGTATATCCACTCCCAAAAAGAACTCAGTTTTATCTATTTTATATTTATCTAATCTCTCCTTTTCATCTTCTAAATGATAGGGTATTAGTTTTATATACTAAGGTCACATTTCTCAAACTTTTTTGTGACCATCTAAAAAAAATATGGCAATATGATTGCAAAACAACAAACCACTTTCTCATCTTCTGGGATGATGAGATGATCATCTTCTCTCATCTGGGAAAAGTGTACAATATGCCTGTTAGTAACTGCACAATGTGGAAATGGTTAATATCATTATGTCTGATCCTACACTCTTTATTACTTGCAAGTAGTCCCATTAACACTGATGATTGCTGAAATGACTTCTGTGGCTTTCCCCCAAACAAAGAATGAAGAATCAGGACCTACAAATTAAAATCAAGTCACCTGAACTGAAAAATATTGTTGCTCTTAGGGAAGAGAATCCTAGAATTTATGTTAGAGGTACATATTTATATTTTTCTTTTTTTTTTTTTTTACATTATTCATAAAAATACTTCTACAGGCTTTTTAAAGCTACCTGTTCCTAAAAAGCAACATAGAATCATAGCTACAGCTCATATCAACAGGTTTTAAAAGACAGGTAGGAGCATTCGTATGGGTTATGCTGTCTTTAATCATTACTCAAATATGCATGTTAAATTTTAGTAGTCAGGTTATCACAAACCAAATTCATATGAAGGAACATAAGTACAAGATGTACATTTAAAACATTACCACGACCAACGTGCCTTTGCTTTCAAAAATAAACTGGAGACCTTTTTTAAAATTCTTTTATGAAGATAGCAAGAAGGATGAATCTATTAAAAAAATGGATAATTGAAATGAATTAAACAGGTATTACTTCTCTACTTCCAAATACAGAAGTATAGATTTCCCAGATGATTTATAGGAGAGAATTTTACACTTTCTCTTGCATTTAAAGTGTGAGAATATAGAACATAGACAAATGGTATGACATAATGTGCAGAAATTCTGAGCAAGTTTAAGTGCCAATAACTATCACCGAACAGTACTCACTCATATTAAAGAATTCTAAGTAGAAACTTTGTGCAGTTTTAATAAAATTCTTAGAAGTTGAACACACCTCCAGTATGTATGGAAACACAAAAAAACCCGTATCTTCATAGATGGATATCGAAACACTGGTATCTGCTGACATTACTATCTTATTTATCCAAATAAGTAAGTCAGGTTTGAAGGGGGGAAAAAAAACCCAAACTCTTCCTGTCTTGAGATGGCACAGCATTCTCTCAAGCATAATACTCACATAGTTCAGCAAAAATACATCCAAATCATAACACCTGAATATAGACAGTTTTTCCCCCAATAAAGTTTCATATCGTTATTTTCTTTCCCTTTTTTCAGTTACATCAATAATCTTTTAAAATTATGCACACTTTTAAAATAAAAGCACACTGTCAGTACAGTCGATGGAACTTGTGGGTTTTTTTCTGTTTACTGAGATGGGCCATCTCACACAATAATACAAGAGGTGGGAGAGGAAGCTATCTAGACTGATTTCTTCCCACTGAACAACATTAACAGTGACGAAAAACCTGTGCAAGCATTTGTGAAATAGATTTAATGAAATTTAGCATTCAGCAGGGAAAAAATGATAATTAAATGAGCATTAAGCTTGAACTCTAACTCTCCAGATGGTGTGCAGTCTTCACAAGCCATTGTGAATATAACATTATGAGTCCTTGAAACATTAATTCCTAGAAAGAAAAAGAAAAGTAATTTAATTTGTTTCATGTTCAGTGAATACAGCAGTACATTCTGATGTTTCCATGTGCAAAATTTTAAGGTTTTGATTATGAAAACACTTTGAGCAGGCTTCCCAGTCTCTTCAACAGTCAATCCAGATCATTTGAAGGGTTAGATTTTATTGTACAGAAGTGCTATAATGCTCTTCAAACTGAAAGGCAAGTTTTGGACTGCTATCACTTAAGAAAATCAGACAGAAAATGTCTTTCCCACTAGGTCTGCAAGACAAACTACAAGGTACATCCTTTTCACTTTACTGGAACAGGAAGTCTGGTGCAATAAAGACAGAGAGAAAGATGGAAGGATAAGAAAAAGTTACTGTCCAATTTACTTCTGATATTGCATTCTCATAAAATAAAAAGGTGACTGTCTGCCTCATCTCCTGTCACAGTGTCTGCTAAAATAGCACCAAAACACTGTAGAGGAGGAAGGGTATTAATGGTGATTCCAGCACTGCTATCTCATTATACTTCATGCACTGCAGAGTCAGACATTAGCTGCGGAAGAAGCCTCTCCACCAATGAACAGTTGTTTCTACAATATCTTTTTCAATCCCTGCAACTGAAAAATGAAATTCCACCTCCGGGAGGATTATTTCTAGTAGTATTCTGCTTTAAATCCAACAGGAACTTACACCTAGATTGTGTTTCATCAATTCCCCATATATCTATTTTAAAAGTCTTAATTCTGTGATTCCGCTGCTGATTACACCCAAATATTTGCATTGATATTTTTGCTTTTACTCTCTCTCAACCCATACTTTACATTGGTTTTTCTTTCATTCTGATCGCAATGAATTTTTCTGAATCTTTCTAGAGTTAGCTAGGAGGGAAGTGATTTCATCATCCATAAATATTTCAGACATTTCTACTATTCCGTCTTTTTCTTGATACAGACTCTAAGTTCTTCACGTAAAATTTATCAAGAACTATAGTATTCTGGACATTAGAGCACTCACACAGACATAGGTAAATCAAATGTATATCACTTATACAAAGCAGACAGATGCAGATTCAGATCTTTGCTCTGTCTCAGGACAACCTTATCAAACAGGCTATTTTATTCATCACTGTATCACCACACTACACAAACCTGATAAATTATTTCCAGTTAAGCTTTTAAAACATAGAATAGACTGCCAAAGCTTCAGGTTTTATTGCACAGGTATTTTTTAATGAAAACAATCCCAAACCATTTAGTATAAGTAAGTAAGTAAGTCTGGAGCAACCCTAGCTCTTCCCACTTAACCAAGAAAGTATAACAAAGAGCTGGATGAGGAAAAAAGTTATGAATTATGTTAGTATCCTGAGCACTCAAAAATGGAAAATAATTAAGCAGAAAAAAATTTGAGTTCATTTGCACTCAAAAGCTACATTGATTTAATTGAGAAAGATTTAGCTTAATCCAGCTAAAGATTTTAAGCAAACAAAGTATTTATACCTGGCTCACATATTTCATTTTTAGTCCTTACTTAAACTCATTGATCCCCAGGAATGTGCAAAAGCAGATCATGCCACATCAGACCAGCCAGGAGAAAAAAAAGAAAAAAACCAAACACCACCACCACCCCCCCAAAACCCAAAAAGCAAACAAGAACGGAGTTGAATTCATAATCTAGTTTGTAGAAGATTAGTCTCGATTTGGTATTTAGCCAGAAGTTTACTAATTAGAAAGGAATGCTATCACCCTGAAAAGGGGGTGATACAAATAGAAAAAGCACCATAATTATTAGTATCAGTGTGGTGACTACATGGATTGATCCCTCTTTTCTTTATACTGTATCAAAAATAGAAGAAAGTGCTATGGTAATTAAAAGTAAATTAAACCATTCCAAATGATACAATGCTTATTTCAACAAATTTAAGAGCTACACTGTACTCAGACTAAGGAGGAGTAGACGCAGTTCTATCAGAGGAATGGAGACTCCCTGTACTTGCTATCAGGGACTGGCAATGGCTACAAAATCACTGTCTTGCACAGCTGTGTTTTCCTACTAAGGGCACCAGAACCAGCTCACTGACCCAAGGAAACTTGCCTCGTATTCTTAGGACCTGTGTACTTAGAGGAGCCTTTGGTAACAAAGATTAATCAAGTGCAAAAGGTAATCATCTCAGTTACCAAAGTATTAACAAAATTCATCTTGGAAGTACATAACCATCTCAAAAGCAGAAATTATTTCCTGCAAATCATGAATTGAGAATTTTTCCCCCTCAACTGGCAATTTTTTTTAATGCATGCTGCCATCAATCTACCAAAAATTGTGATGCAACAAGCATGCAGCTACCAAACTAAGCTGAGACTGAAACTGACAGGGAAGCAGCTAGATATTGTGGAGGCTCCATTTCGCTGATTGTTGAAAGGAAAGCTGAGCGTGCTCCTCCTTCAGGGTTACAAGTATTTGAAGACTTTTAGAATGCATTTATGTTTCTTGTAAAAAATGCACATATATAGAGTAAAAACTATTCTGAAAACTACTAGAAGAAGAAAGGCTGGATAGTTGTGAGCTTTTATGTAGGAAAGACGAAAATATTTACCTCTACACCTGCACAAAATGGTGGCAAGTCAAGTATAGATTTTCTGTAGCATTATTTCTACTACTGTTTTAAGAATTTATGACTATAGCATCCCGGTGCAAGTAGTTGCTATTAACCATATAGTTTTGACATGCCTCAATAAAACAAAATAAAAGGAGTATCATCAAAAGATTGTGGTCCTGAATCTTCTTGTAACTTTTCTTGGAGCAATGTAATTCCATGGAATTCAGCCAATATTTCAACAAGAAATATCAGAGTTCATCCTTTTATCTGTGTCCCCCCCCCAGTGTTTGGAACTTAAATGCTGTTGAACAACTTACCCTTCCAGGGACCAGTCCAGAGACCAATCAGGAGACTGATGATGGGAATGTTCAGGTGATGATGTTCTTAACGTAGAGCTTAACTGATACGAGATTGTACGATTCTGGCGTCGAAGCTCCTCTACAGCACGTTCCCTAAATAAACATTATTTTAGAGTGAGACTAAGCACTTTTCAAAAATCATCAAAATTATCTTGTAGTCATTATAATTTTTTTTTCTATTTAAGATTGTCAGCTTTTTAGTTTTATTTTATTTTAAAAGGAGATGTGGTGTTCATCATATATTTCTCTGAAAGACAGATTAGTGACTCTCTCTGTATTACTCCCTTACTCAGATTTAGTTCTACATATCCATTGTCTCTATTTTCCCTAAAAGACAGAAGCTAGCCATGGTTGCTGCAGGTTAAACTCTAAAAATTGTAAAAATCTCCAGGGAGGAAGAGCCTAATTTTAAAGTTATTCACAAGTCTGCAACATAAGGACAATCACTAAAATCAGCAATGACATTAATGTAAGAACAGTGTTGCTCGCGGTATTCTTGTGCTGTTTGAGTTGGCAAGGCCAGTGGACTAGAGTCTACCTAAAGTGCCCTGGAGCTGGTGGATATTCAAGAGATGCTGGACTCCCCAGTGGGAAGGTTGTAAAATGGTAGTCTGGTCATTTTGACTGCAAGAGGTGGGGCCTGGATACTGGATCAATCTGTAACTCCTGCATCTGGGTGTAGGGGGAGGAAGTACATGGGACTGGATAATACACTGGAAAATTTTGGAGGTACATACTCATCTGGGATCCTGGTTTCAGGCTGCCAATTGTTTACATAAGGAGAATCTAGTCTGGGTTGGATTGGGAAACTACTAGGAAGGGTAGCTACAACCACCCCGTGTTTCAGTGTGTAACCCCAGTTAAACCTGGACAATGGTTCATTATAAATGAATGGGTGTATTGGGAGGATAGCACTGATCCGGGCTGGAAAAAAAGGACTCCAAGTTGCCCAAAACCTTGCAAATGAAGGTATAACTAGGACTGCCCATATGGTATTGAACTGAAACTGACTCCAGTGTGACTTAGCCATTACCACAGACCTACGTATGGAGAGCACCACTGAAGCAGATCACCAAAACCTGCAGGAGAGGGATCAGATCCAGCACCAGCTCACGGATCTGAATCTACAGGCAAGAAAAAGGCTCGCTCTAGCAGCGGGAGCCCAGTGAGATGGTAAGTCTTCCACCTAGCTACCAACATCCCACAACCTTGTGCCTGGGGAGGTGTCACATGCGCTGTAAAGACTACAGAACCACTTATCTACATTGACTGCTACTCTTCCTAGCATTATTGCTTTTAAGGGCTTTACTATGCACATGCTGTACTGTCTTTAACGGTCAAGATGGCGCTGGCAATGGTGGGAAGTCAGAGTGCAGCTGCTTGCAGCTCTCACAGGTAACATCGCTCTGTAGGATACCAAGTTTGGGTATGAATGTAGCAAAACTGTGACCAATGGGGAAAAGTAACCATGGGAAAGTTTTTTATTTGGGAGGAGACTGGGGCAGAGAAAGGGAGATACAAGGGCAGCAAAAAGGAGGGTTAAGAAACAGAAAGGAATGAAAAGATATGCAAGTCATGCACTCGGGGTTGTCCAGGGGTATGTGACAGTCAGTCCCTGTGCTTGGTCACCACAGCTGGAACAGGAAAATAAATCAAACCTGTTGTTTCCACATGAGTCCAAACTGCTTCTGTAGTCATGAATATGGGAGAGATGGGGAGGTGCTTTTCCTGACTGGTAAAGAAAAACCCAGACAGATGGATTAAGCCTCCTGGTATCACTGTGTTGGTGCTCATTCAAGGCCTGACAGTGTTGGCACTTCCACCTCCTAATTTCAGGCATTATTTCATTCTGCACCAAGGCAATAAATCAATACAACTAGCTAAGTCAGTGTTAGAACAAGGATATCATCTACCCACGCGTTTAAAGTGACAACAAAAAAACCCAGTCAGTACTGACATCTGCTGCTTCCATTATATACTATCACGACACTGATTTTAATGATAGTATTTTTCCTCTCTGGCTAATTTTCTCGTTTTCACTTGCCAGTACCAGAAAAATAGATTGGCTGTAAGAAGCCAATTGGAGCTTTAATCCCTTTCCCTGCAAACAAGAGAGATAGATATCTGCTCTTGTAAAGCATGACTTTCTGAGGAAAAACAGAAAAGAAATAAAATTCTTGTAACCTTTGCGGGACATTGAAGGGACACTGTTTTGATTTTATGAAAAAGCCAAAAAAAGAAAAAAGCTCTAGCCTTTAAAAGACAGCTAAATCTAATGTCAGCCTCAGATTTTTATATGAGAACATTTCAGTCTTTGCTATCTAAGATTTCTGCATATTGTTTTTGCAGCTGACTTACAGACTGCATAATGGAACCTAGCTTTGTTCTTTCCAAAGTAATTCAGATAATTATGTTTGTAATTCTCTTGAAATAGAAGAGAAATTCTCTTCAAGAATGAAAACTGGCAATCTTTGCCTCAGCATAGGCTAAACAACCACGTGAGTAACAAATTATCCTTAACTAGGAGAAAAGATTAAGTGTGGATGCTGATTCAACTTTCTGCCAATGAACACTTCAAGAAGAAACACTTCAAAAGAAAGGAACTTGCAGTCCCTACCAGGGAGCACCTATACACCATGAGATGGATGCACTCACACAGGGGGGAGTAGAGAAACAACAGTCTGAAGAAGATCGAGTTTCTTTTAAAACAAAGGTACTCCTGTATTAGCATACAGTCTGGCTCATTATATGCAGCTGAAGAAGCACAAATGATGCCACCTTTTAAACTGACTTGCACATCTAACCCGAAAGTGTAGCAGTTTTTGCCATGACTTCAGAGTAAAGGAGAATCCAATTTGAAATTGAAACATACACTGAGACATTTAAGAAATCCATCTTTAAAAGGCCTAACATCAGGTATAGAGATGCCCCTCCAAAACCCTCATTCTTACCTATGAGAGAACATGGAACATAGAACATAAAACATCAACAAAGCAATTTACTACAATTAAACAAGACACCTGATTCTCAAACCTGTGCTATAATCACATCACTCTTTCTTTTAGCCGTCTCTTTTACATACCCAAAATGATGCCTGAGACGGTAATATTTTATCCTCAATACATCCATGAAATAGAGAATACTATTGTTTCACAGATAAGAAAAGTATTTAAGGCACTGAGACTACGTAGATAAACTAACTGATGAAGCAGGCCAGGGACCGCGCTCTGGTACTGTGGCCAAATCATATGAAACAGTTTGTACATATTGTTAAACCCTCTTCCCACAAAGAAAAAAAAAAAAGATTACTTTGGCCATACTGCCATTTGGGAACCATCCCTAGCACCTTCTGTGCCCCAAACAGTACCTGGGAGAAGGTGGGTTGGTATGGGCTAAAATAATTCCAGGGTGTGTACTAACAATTAAACTGTATGGACAAGTATACAGTTGTGTGGACCCCTCAAGTCAATGCTCTGACCTGGTTTAGTTCACTAGTACAGTTGTAGCCAAAAGGTAGCCATTCATATCGTAGAACTTAGTGGTCTATAAGTCACTTGTCTAGCCACCTAGTCACCTAGACTCTCACTATAGATCACGACAGGCATCACTACAAATAAGTGAAGACAGACGAGCATCTTCAGGAAAGTGATCCATCTCATCCTAAAACAGGCCATTCTAGAGGGCAGTTTATCTCACTGTTTCATTCCATTGGCTATAAAAGGAACCTAGACAACTAATTTAGACAGCGTGTATAACAGCTACACAGACTGAATTCAGTGATGTGAATAGCTTCTTAACACACAGGAGGTGTACAGCAGAGCAAAACCAAACTTTGCTGTTTATCCTACTGACTAGTCTAAGTCTTAGTACTATACTGCATTTCACCCCAATTAGATGCAGGAAGCACGATACCAAAACATATACTTGCCTTTCAAAGCGCTCAGTCCCCAGCTGTCTTTTGGTGATATCCAGTTCCAACTCTAGCTGAGCTGCTCTATTTCTGAGCTGAGTAAAATGTTGACTCTGCACAGCACTGTAAAGTCCATACACTTTAAGTAGATAGCAACTGTAATCCTCCAAGTATGTTACCAAATACAATTTTCCAAAATTAAAAAGGCAGCTATACCATGCAATTGAGATTAAGAACATTTTTTGGAGTAAAATATAACACTACACAGAAAAGTCTATTATTCCTCTATAGCTGAGGAATCAGAAGTAGCTTTTTGGTATCTTCTGCTGTTAAAGTAACCAAGGTACATTGGCCATTTGAAAATGCAGCTAGGTATAAAACCATCTGTGTGCATATACACTTGGGAAGAATGAAAAAACCTGCAATATTCTGGTCATTTACTCACAATTTATTTTCTGCTAAAAAAAGCTGTTCCTTGAGAAACTGAATTTCAGAGTCTTTTTCTTGCTTTGCTATCTGTGACTGAAATTCTTTCTCACGACTGGACACAAGCAAAGATTCCAGGTTTTTTGTAAATGCTCTTTCATTTCCCAGTTGTTTTCTCAGCAGCTCTATTTCAGAATGGGATGACTCACACTTGCTCTGCAGCTAAACAGAAATTTTAAAGTTTTATCTATCTATTATGGTAACCTTTTAAAAAGAAAAAAAAAAAGAGAAAAAGAAAAAAGTAAGTCTGGGATCAATGACCAAAATTCACTTTCACTCCAAGATGGATGATTAGTGTTATATTTGCCCTCAGTCAAAATCCTGTGTCAGATTTATAAATTCACCCAATGTATATATCAGAATATAAACATACTTGATAGAAATGACAAAATGCTATGAAATATACAGATCAATGGATACAGACTGTAGACAGAATCATTAAAGAAGAGGAGGGAAGTTCTACATTTTGTTGAGGCAAGAAACTACTGATTAACCATTTGCATGCAGGAAATGACACCTGGTATAACCAACCAATATCTGCATCTCCAGCAGAGTGAGATTACACTTATTTTACTTAAAGGAGCATCAAGAATAAATTTGGGAGGAAAGGGAAAATGAATAAAATCCAAATGAGATTAAGCATCTATATATCTTGGGGGAACCTAAAAAAGAATACTACCATAAAACCTAATATGTTCCACTGAAAAGGGAACAATGGATGTACCTGAGACATAACTACACAAAAAAAAAAAAATCCTGGAGACGGTGAGTCAGGAAAATCTCTATTGAGTCAGCTACAGAGACACAGAAAACTAACTGTTTTAATCTTAGCGTAAGTTAGCTCGATGCTATTTTTCCTTCATCTTTTCATGTATGCATTTTAGTATGTCTAACTGAGTCCATTTGGGGTACTGCAAACACTTTTACCTGTATTTTACTCAAACCTAGTTTACATTGAGCACAATAATGCTCACCCAAAGGTCATAGTAAATCTATGAACTGACACATCTTAACAAACACCCCACCTCTCCAGCACATTCTTCAGAATTTTCAGAGGATAACCATTTATGTGTTCAAACCAGGAAGATACTGAGAGAACTCATGTCACAGGCCAATGGGGGGGGAGAGGAGGAAAAAAAGGAAAAGAAGAAGAAGGAAGAAGAAGGAAGAAAGAAGAAAGAGAAAAAGAATTTTTAAAAGAAGAAAAAAGAAAAATGATTTTTTTAAAGAAAAAGATTTTTTAAAAAAGAAAAAGATTTAAAAAAAAAGATTTTTTAAAAAAGAAAGAAAAGAAAAAAGAAAAGAAAAGAAAAAAGCATTTTTTAAAAAAGAAAAAAGAATTTAAAAATGAAAAAAGAATTTGAAAAAGAGGAAAAAACTTCTAAAGAGGAAAAACTAAAAAAGAAAAAATAAAAATAAAAAATAAAAATTAAAAAAATTTTAAAAAAATAATTTTGAAAACAGGAAAAAGCATTTTTCACTTTCCAAAGCAAAACTCAAATGATTTGGTTTTACCAACTAAACTGAAAGGTATCTTCAGTCTGAAAGGTCCAATTTTCTACTAACTGTCAATCAAAAAATCTAGTTCCTTTGCCTATAAACAGTTTTGATATCCTACTTTTGTATTTCAGAACAAAAAAATCCTGAAAACTGTAGACAGCATAAGTTACAGGAAAATAAACAGGATTAGAAACACTAAAAGAACAATATTATTCAGCATCAGGTTTAATTTCCACTTCTGAATGTACATATGCTGCAATCTAGTAATGCAGATTTCTGCATTGGAATACTATGTGCAATAAGAGCCCTATCTGAAGGTTATACATGGCTGATGAAAGACTACTGGTTGAAAGGTATAAAAAAATTAGTGAAAATTTCCCAACTTCAGACTTTTCTCCAACTCCCCAACCGCATTTCTGCATTTTTCTCTCCTGAAACTGTTGCTGCTCTCCACAGTCCCAGCAAGCCGCTTCACTGACAACCTCACAGAAGGATCCAGGAAGGCTTAGTCGTATTAGATCTCATGAAAGCTTCAGACAAATGTCATATGCTGGAACTCTTCCCTATCGAAAGCATCGTAGAGGATTCCACAAACATACAACAGACATCACACGCATTTGGCTGGAACAAATAACCAACTGTCAAACAGCAGCTTTACCCATGGTGTATGGAAAAGGCATAAAGGTTGAAAGAGAATGCTGGAAGCCTGTAAAGAACAAGAAATTATCTCAGCTGGAGCAGAGGATGGACAGGACAGTGATAGAATCATGCTGAAAATATCTGAATAATCTGAGTATGTATGAACAATTTTTCAGAGTTTATCCAAGCTGAGTTTTTAAAAATTTGCCTATCAAACATTAATTTTGTAGTTTTTGTCAAAATCAAGGTCAACAGAAATTGATTTTCAAGGGAAATTAAGGAAAGATTATTAAAGAGATATTGATACTTCCTAAAACAGTTGTGCATTTTAAAGTCCATGTCAAGTTTCTTTGCTAATAAACTACTCCAGCTATTGTGCTTACTTAGTGACTAGATGTAAAATCCGAGATATCTTTCAAGAAAAGAACTAGTAATTTTACATGCTGACTTTTGAGTATTCATAGTAAAACCTTGCAAACCAGTGTGCTTTTCAAACAGTATACAGCATCCACCCTCTGAGGAGTAAGCCCCTGAGGAATGCCAAATTAAACATTCAACAAATTGAAGCGCTAATCATCAATCAGGATTAAACATTCAAAAAATTGAAGCGCTAATCATCAATCAGGATTTCTTTTATCATTCTAGATTCCAAAGTAGATTTAGATCCCTTAAGTATAACATTAACATAAACTTATTTTTCTAATATATTTCACATACCCTTTCTACCTTCTACTGCTGTGGAAGTTAACTGCTAAGTTAATCGTTCTTTGACTGCATCTAGTTTAATGCAAAGTTCTTGTGTAGATGCGAGATTTGCAAGTAAGGAGACTCTCCTGATGTATGTTTTGAAGCTCTCCTTCCATTTTCACAAGAGACTTGCTTAAGGCAGAAATCTGAGACTTGTATGCTGCTTCTGTTGTTAAATGCTGCAGTAAAGCAGTATCAGATAATCAAAACTCCACTGCAAAGAAAATTTAAAACTACTTCCAAAATCCTGCAAAACTATCTCTATGTAATTGTGGTGAATTTTAAGAGGCAGCAGTCATTTATTCTGGAATATACTTTAAAGTTATTTCTTTAAGTAACTCCCGTATATAAAAACTAGAAGAGAAGAGTTCTTGCTTCTGACAGCAAAATCAACTACTGACATTTTAAACTCCATTCCTAGAATTCTACTCCTTCTGCAGAGCTAATAAGGTCCAAAATTCTGCAATGGGCTGCATTTCATTTTCAGATGAGACCCTCTTATTTTAGCAATAAAAGGTATTCTTGCATGTAGATGATCAGTGAATGCTGAGATACTGTCAGTCATATTTATACTGCTGTCACCCGTAAACTCAGGCATGACTACGAGATGACAGAAGTCACACCAAAGAGAAGTCCACAAGCCAGCAGCAGCAGTTCTGACTAAAAGCATTTAGAATTTTGTATATTTAAAATTAACATAACCTAGGTTTTTCCTTTTTGAAAAATGCCTGTACTTTGCCCAGTGACACTGGTATTTCCAGACACTTTTAACTACTTAATTTTCAGTGGGTAGCAGAATGAGTCTGGGAGGTTAACAGAGCAAAGGGAGAGATAAAGCACTGTGACTTCCTTGAAGGATTTATTAGGAATGAGATCCAAAGAGATGATTGTAGGGGGAGCACATCACATTAATTCTAGCTCTGTCTTGCCTAAAAAAAAGCAAAAGGAACACAGAGCGCTGCTAAGCATGTTAAGATTTTTGAATAAAAACTTCTCTGTGTTTTAGATATGTGCCTTACACGTAACTGCTATGAACCTGAATATGACATCCGGAATTCTGACTCAATTTGTTGACACAGTTTTCATGAAGAGGCCTGTTTATTCCTATACTTAATAGCAGGCATGTGGGAAGGAATTAGAAGGATGAAATCTCTACCTGTTTGAGGCTCGCTGGACAAACTAGGACCATGTACCAGTTTTATTATATTAAAAAAAAAGTCAAAATCTGCCACACAATCTTCCTGTGCTGTTTTGCTACTGTTAGGTTCTCATCCACTTTCTCAACAGCAGCAGTTCAGTTCCTCTTGAGTGTCTAATGTGCACGGGTAGCCATCAGTAGCCTATGTGACATTCAGGAAGCAGAGATGATCCGCAACAACAACTGTTAACAACCCAAACCCAGAAGATAGTGTATATGTTCATAACGCATTTCCAAAGCCATGCTGTGCCTTTCCCTTTAAGTTCTTCAGATTTTCAAGTGGGAAGAGGCTCTTTGGGACATCTAAGGCAGTGGAAAGAAGGTTGAAAAGCTGGAAGCAAGAAAAGCAGGAACAGGAACGCAACGGGTGACAAGGCACTAGGTATATTGCAGGTATGCTGTGGAGTTGTGTGTGACATTGTGCCTTCAGTCATTCCAAACATGAGAACATTTCGTAATTTACAATATATATATTTTTTTCCTTGAAATATGCTATTTTTTTTTAAGATTTTTTTTCCAAGTGTGACTAGTGGAATTCTAGTCATGTTATTAAATAAACTCAAACTCCATACAGTTCATTGTAGCAAATATCTCTAAAATATGAGAAGTGGCATTAAGCATAATTTTAAACAGTTGCAGGCTTAAAATACTACCAGACCATTTCAAGGGTGAACTATGGAAAGAACGATTTCAACTTACTTGCTCCATCTCCCTTTCAAGGGACTCCATTTTCTCTTTCAACCTGTGGTTCTCAGACTCCGCACTGATCAGTGCCTGTCTAACAGAGCTACAATCTGCTTCTGCTTGATGGCATTTTGCTTCCCAACTTTCTCCTTGTTCACGGGCTTTGTGGTAATTCTCCAGAAGCTCGCAGTTCTCTCTCTCCTAACACATCAAGCTTGTTTGTTTAATGATTTACAGTAAGCTTCACAAAATAGGGATATCTATAGATCTACAGGTATGACATGGTACTGGATGTTCTCTTTCCACTGAAAACTTCGCCATTTAGCCAAAACATTGAGAGGCTTCTCAAGAACCAGTGTTTTGTTCAAGATGGCCACATTTTAATGCTCAAAAGACATCTGTTAGAAATGGCTAGATTAACATTACAAATACAAGGTATAGCAATATATTGCAGATTTTTTTTTTTTTTTTTTTTTTTTTTTTACTATTAATCCCATACGGTAATAAAGACAAAAGAGTTCCAAGTGTCTGTATTATTCACTGTCTGAATTTTTAAGTTTAATAAACACATGTGTATATATATGTGTGTGTATATATATCTGTAAAACCACAATGAAATATACTTCATTAATTGTGTACTGCAAAAACAGCTAAGACAATGTGTTCAAACTAATAAAAACATATTAGGAGAATGCAAATAAGTTTTGGCTAGGAAGCAAATTCTTCCATGGAAATATGGTTAAAATTTCGGTTTTAGTTAAAACAACAGCTTTTATTAACAGGTTTAATCCATATACTCACTTTAGACTTCAGTACACCCTTCAGCCTGACAATATCTGTGTTTGCATCCTGGGCTTTCAACTTCATATCGTCAAGCTCATTTTGGTACTTTGCTAGTTTTTTATATAGTACCTATGAAGAAAGATTTGTTTCATAAGGTTAAAGTATACTGTTTGTACCTTTACAAAAAAATACAATTCATGCGTATCTAACGCCTATAGCTTTATTAACTCGTTATTTAAAGGCTATATAAAATCTAAACCATGTATATTTCTATAAACAAAATTTTGCATTTGTCAGAAATATTTTGTTTCTTTGACTTACAAATAATGCTAAATCTTCTTAAGAAAAATGTCAATAAAAGAATGTAGCAGTTAAGAAGAAAAATAGATTATTTAGCAGCTAGATGGTCATAACAAAATAGCCTGCCCCATTTAAGGAGCAGGGCTCAAAGTCAGCTCCCTCTTTTTTACGTTACATGTTTACATGTCTCTTAAAAGCCCACAATTGAAAAAGCAGAAGACAGCTAAAAAATTGAATTAACTAATTAAGTGGTTATCTCCCAATCAGGAGAAATAAAGCCACAAGTATTAGGAGAACGCACACAGAATTTCTGGCAACTATTGCTTGAGAAAGAGAACAGAATGAGGAAAAAAACTGCAGAAAGGCTGTCTTGAACTGCTCTGTTCAGAAACTCTTCCTTCCTTACAAAATTACTAGGAGAACGTTCAGCTGCAAGAACCGGGGGAATGTGGGGGGTGGAGAAGGCTATGGAGAAACCCCTATTCCTGTTATGAAAAGGTTGTGAGTTGCTGAGAAAGGTGCTCTGTAAGTCTGAGAACTTTTCCAGTAAGCCCAAGTGAAGAAATGAGAATCACCTAAATTAATGGAAGAACCTAGAGGAACCAATACATATTACAGAGGCAAACCTATTAAAAAGTAGTTGATCCCGGAGGCTAAGACTTGTTCTTTCTAACTGCTTCTACAAGCATCCAGGCATTGCAAAGAAAACCATGAAGCTTTCAAAAGTAGCTAGAAGCAACATGAGGCTGTGTTTTGTACCAGCTGACCTCATCAGTGATTCACCCAACTGTGATTCTGAGCGAAGGTAAAGAATAGCGATTCCCTGGAGTACCTTTGGTGGTTAAAGCTACTACAAACCTCGACTTTTCTAGAATACTCAAAGAGGGCGCTAAAGAGAAACGATTAGTTTGTTTGAGAGAAGAGTTATTAGAATGAGAGTTTTTGCAGCGCAGAATTAGGCACCTGATCAGAGAAGAGCTAGAATGAGAGTTGTCTCACCTAATTTTTGCAGCGCAGAATTAGGCACCTGATCTAAACTAGTTAGCTATGCTTCCTCTATCATAAAGGAAGAGACAGGTAAAATGAATCACTTTAAAAACCGGGGTGGGATGAATCTCCTTCTGGAGGACTTTTCTTCACTTAAAAGGGAGCGTTAATGACTTAAAACTTTTATATACCTAGAATGAGAGTTGTCTCACCTAATTTTTGCAGCGCAGAATTAGGCACCTGATCTAAACTAGTTAGCTATGCTTCCTCTATCATAAAGGAAGAGACAGGTAAAATGAATCACTTTAAAAACCGGGGTGGGATGAATCTCCTTCTGGAGGACTTTTCTTCACTTAAAAGGGAGCGTTAATGACTTAAAACTTTTATATACCTAACATCAGGTGAAGTTCATTTGCTCCTTCAAAACTGGGTAGCGCTTCTAGAGGAAGAGAAAGCCGGGTGAGCGGAAAGTATTTTCAAAGACAAAGATATCCTAAGCAGTAGAATAAGTGCAGAGAAGAAAGATCAAGTATCAGAAAACCTAAATGAAGGCAAGAAGTTGAAGAAAAAACAGAACACTACATGGTAATGAACTACTACAGGTATTAAAAGCTTAATTTCTAGCTGCTTGGAAAACACATTGATGCATGAACATTGTCTGTGCGTGAGATGACACTTGAAAGTATTTTAACTACTTTCATTAGTAACTGCACGCAGATAAATAACACAGTAGATAATGTAATGTTGTATTATAACCAAATATTTCCAGCATCTTTTATCCAAAAACCACTTGAAAGGAATGTAAATAAATACGATAGTATTAATAAAGTTTTGAACCTTATTAAAATGTGTAGTGTTAAATTATTAGCAAGTCAAATTCATAAGCTTGTAAGTGCTCTGGGCCAGTCACAACACAGTGTAAGAAATACTTGCTGCCTCCTTTATAGTACTTTTCCATATAAGCAATAGTTGTAACTGCCACGGTGTTTTTACATGAAGATCACAAAAAAACGTTACTTAGCTGTTCCTCAAGATAAACATCCAAACCATTACGTAAGAATAGCTGGTTCTCTTTATACAAGTGAACTGAGTAATAAGGGAAAAATCAGAGTTTGAAAAACAAGCTTAAAAACTAGTTTGCAGATTTACTTCAGATGAGGGCCCAAAAATTCTATGCACTACTTGAAAAATACACAGTTTTCCTTTTTATTGAAGGGTTCTCTGTACAAATATACCTGATTTTCTTGCTTAATATTAGAAAGATGCTCTTGTAACCTGTCATTCTCCTGAGCTAATGATTCTCTGTTCTTGTTAGTCTGTGCAAGTTCTTTGTTGGTTTCTTGTAGTTGTTGATGCAAACTGGTGATATCTTTCTCACAGACACAGAGTGCTTCAGCAGATTTTCTATGCAGCAAACAATAAATACTTCAGGTATGACAATACTGCCCAATCTAATACAAATGATAGCTTTTCCAGTGGTTAAGTTTGCAAGTCATGAAACAAAGCTGTAACACTTTAATATTTAATAGAGTAAAAAAAAAAATTCTACATTAGCACATCCTATGATTCAATTTTTGAGTTAATGTTATAAATTAATCAAAATTTAATAATGATCTTGAGATTTTATCCTTACTTTGTGGAACGCTCCAACTCAGAAATCAGAATCTTGAAATCTGAAATTATTTTCTCCTTGAAAAGAAATACAAAATTAAAATAAACCTCTCACCACTCCTCAGTATAAATGGAAAAAAAAAATTAAATAAGATTATTTATATTTTCCTTTTATTCAGCTAGCTGATTAATTTAACTATTTAATGCAAAATGGATTGTGGTTTTCCAAGTTTCATCATGTACTGTTTAGAGCTGAAAATTCTGATAATCTAATTTGGCAAATAAAGGAAAAAACATTATTATCTTCTGCAGAATGTAATAACTTTATTTAAATTTTTTAATCCTTTGTGGTTCTAAAGGTAGCATTTGGCTCACACTCCCAAAACTAAATGATGTCTTCTGTCTATTAGATAAGTTATCACAGCTTCTCTACAATGAATAAACTACCCGAGTCTGGTAGTTTGTAATTGATAAAACAAGAATTCCATCACTGTATTTCCATAAAGAAGGTAGCAGAAAGTATATCACTTTACTCCCTTGTCTTTGGATACAGATATTAAAAGAAGCATAGACGGGCTAAGGAAATGTCTTCCACTGGAAACACAAGAGAGGTGATAAAGGTTTATTCCACTGGAACAAGAGAGGTGATAAAGGTTTATCACCTCTTCTCTAAAATGGACACCATTTTACAATTTACAGTTTTTAAAATGCAAAGTCAGTGCTTGCAGCAAGATGATTATAGCCTGTCCTGCAATATATTTTCTTCAAGATTTCGTTAAAAATCAGTGCAAATTCTTGAGTTAACAATCACAACAGTTAAAAAGTACCTTCTTTAGTTTATCCTAAATCAGTATTCAGATGACTTAAGCTGAAGTGAAAACCAATGTTTCAGAACTAAGAACTAAGCAGCTTCATTACATAGCTTGAAATCACACTGTGCAATAAACTGATGCAGTTTTCTTAGGTAAACTAGTACCTTAAGGTGAAAAGAATATAATTCAGATGCTTCTTCAATGACAACAAAGGCAATATTATTTGCCGCCCTGCATCTCTAACATCAGTGGACCCCAAGGAAGAATTTAAGCTAAATTTTATCATAAACAAAATATTTTATTGGCTAATTTACTCTTCTCCACTTCAGAAAGTACTTAAAGTCTCCTCTCTTGATAAGTATAAACCATACAAAACACCAAACATGAGATGCTCAACACTGCTCAAACCTAGTGCTGTTGAAGTCAACATGAGTTTTATTGTAGCCTTGAAACTGGAGCAGAAGTAGGTCAGCACTGAGCACTGTTGCAGATACCAATATAAGATAGGTGTGATGACCCAACAGACCCTTTCCCTATTTATCTTTTGTGACTATTTACATGTTAGAACATACTTTAATTGCCAGGCTTTCCTCAAAAGTAGCAATCTTCTCTCTTCCTTCTTCCACACAGTCTTGCAAAGTTGCCTTCTCTCTGTCGAGCTGTGCAACTGTTTCTTTCAAAGCACAGATCTCCTCTTGTTGTACAAGACTTTGTCTTGAAAAGTTATCTGGATACAGTCAGAAAGGTCTCATTTTTATTAATTCAACCCATTTGAAATAAAAATTCTTCTGATACACTTCTAAAGCATAAAAGAACATGACAAAAGCTCCCCTTCAAGAAAACACTGAAGCATGTACCTTTTCGAAACACATAAATAATCCAACAATTTATAGAACGGCATTCTTCCTTAGATCAAGGCCTTAAATTACTTGGCTCAAAACAATTCCATCTTTAAACAACAAATGTTCAGATCATTAAAAATAACCTTCTTGGGTATTATAACAATAAAGGCTTAAACAGAATTACAATAGACAGAAGCAATATGTGGACTACAGCGTGTAATGACTGATGAAATAAGAGATTGATATCCTGATATTAGCCAGTGTGTCTGAAATAATTTTTTTATTTAAATGAACTTTATGTAAGAGTAATGCATTTATAAAATTCAACAGCACTTAAAAATTGCAAAGATAATATTGAAAAAAGCAATCTACTCATTACAAAATCAAATTCTAAAATATGCCTCTATCTTCATTCAGCTAATAAGGTGTTACACACTAAATTTACCTTTAAATGGTCAGAGAATCAATCCTTATATGATCTTAATGACATACATTGCATTCGTAGAGGAGAACCACAGAAACTCTTCTTAGAGTGAACCTTTATCTCATAAAAACCACGCAGGCTGCAAATTACTCTTTCAATGTCAGTGTAATTGGGGTTATTGGATGACACTTATTAATCACTTCCAGGAGATAAAACATCCAAAGTAAAATGATCTGTAACTCAGTCTTTCAGCGACATCATAGCATATATTCACATTCTATTTTTTTCCACAGAATCTCTCTCTCTTTCAAAACACAAGATGAAAGGCACTCAAATTTCCACCCCATATTTTTGGATGCATGGCTCTGGAACCTGCTAAGACAGTGCTCAAACCTGGCTCTAAAGAAAATTCTGATGGAGCAGATAATCCTGGAAACCATTTCCAGGCACAATAAGGACAAGAAAATCACCAGCAGTAGTCAGCATGGCTTCACCCAGGGGAAGTCATGCTTGACCAACTTGACAAACTTCTACGATGAAATGACTGGTCTGGTGGATGAGGGGAGAGCAGTGGATATTGTCTACCTTGAGTTCAGTAAGGCCTTTGACACTCTCTCCCATAAGATACTCGTAGACAAGCTGTTGACATATGGGCTGGATGAGCAGTGAGGTGGATTGAAAACTGGCTGAACAGCCAGGCCCAGAGGGTGGTGATCAGTGGCACAAAGTCTAGTTGGAGGCTGGTAACCAGTGGTGTGCCCCAGGAGTTAATACTGCATCCAGTCCTGTTTTACATCTTCACTGACGATCTGGATGATGGAGCACAGTGTACCATCAGGAATTTTCCCGATGATGCAAAACTGGGAAGAGTTGCTGATACACCAGAGGGTCGTGCTGCCATCCAGAAGGACCTTGACAGGCTGGAGAAAGGGGCTGACAGGAACCTCATGAAGTTCAACAAAGGGAAGTGCAAAGTCCTGCACCTGGGGACGAACAACCCCAGGCACCAGTACACAAGCTGGAAAGCAGCTTGGCAGGAAAGCTGGGGGTCCTGGTGGATGCCACGTTGAACACGAGCCTCCAATGTGCCCTTGCTGCAAAGAAGGCTAATGGTGTCCTGGACTGCATTAAGGAAAGTATTGCAGCTGGTCGAGGGAGGTGATTCTTCCCCTCTACTCAGCACTGGTGAGACACACCTGGAGGGCTGGGTCCAGTTCTGGGCTCCCCAGTACAAAAGAGACATGGACATACTGGAGAGAGTCCAATAAAGGGCCATGAAGATGATTGAGGGACTGGAGCATCTCTCCTATGAGGAAAAGCTGAAAGAGCTGGGACTGTTTAGCCTGGAGAAGGCTCAGGGGGAGGTCTTACAAATGTCTATAAATACCTGAAGGGAGGGTGCAGAGAGGATGGAGCCAGGCCCTTTTCAGTGGTGCCCAGTGGCAGGACAAGAGGCAATGGGCACAAACTGAAACACAGGAGGCTCCCTCTGAACATCAGGAAACACTTTTTTTTTCCACTGTGAAGGGTGACCGAGCACTGGAACAGGTTGCCCCAGGGAGGTTACAGAGTCTCCTTCCTTGCAGATATTCAAAAGCCATCTAGACACAGTCCTGGGCGACTGGCTCTAGGTGGCCCTGCTTGAGAAGGGGGCTTGGACAAGATGACCTTCAGAGGTGCCTTCCAATCTCAACAATTCTGTGATTCTAAGCATTCTCACTATTTCACAGAGAAGGAATGGAGGCACAAAGATCAACTGAAAATTCTACCTGATTATTTTGGATGCCCAAACTGTGAACTAAATTTTCAGGATAGAAAGTATTACACGTTCAAAAAAACAACCATGGATTGCTGCCACAGCTGTGAGTGCTCAACATTTCTGAAAATTAATCAAATTAGGCACTCTGAAAATAGGTCATATGTATAGTTAGTGAGGAATTCTGGAAAGTTTGGTTGTGCATCACCCCAAAATTCTAATCTACAGACAGCAATAGTATAAAATACTGCATAACAATATTTAACAGTTTAAATAGCATGTGCTTTCTCTTTCTTCAATTACCTGCTTTATTCACTGTATTTTCAGCTAAGGAGAAGATCTGACAGACAAGCTTGCTTCACTAGACAACACTGATTTACTCCCTATAAGACTCTGCAAAAGTTGCAGCAAGGCTCCTATAGAAAAACAGCACATGATAGTGTAATTAAAAACAACGCCGTAAGTTAAAAAAAAAAAACACCAACACCACTGGGGTCTATTTATTAAGCAGTACAGACAACCTTAAGACTGGCATTTCCAACTTCTTAGTCTTTGCCTCTGAAATTAAGTTACTTAATTTGCGTGAAAAACAAAAAGCACAATTTGGATTCCCATCATGTGTCACATGACATAGAAGACAAACCATTGGGGGACTATACTGCTCTTCTCTCTGCAGACAAGCACTGGAAAGAGACACTTTGGAAAGAGACACTTTGGCAAGTGTACATTATTTTGCTGACAAGAGAAGGTAACACAAGACTTGGAAATCCCTAGTTCCATTCCAGACTCCAAAAAGGGAAAAGGTTCTCTAGTGGGCACAAACACGTTCTTTCCATCTTCTCCAATTCCACCTCTCCAAGAAGATACCATTAGCTCCCATCCTCTCTCTTCACTTTGGTCAGCCCTAAGTCTTAAGGTTTCTCATCCTAGATTCCTTCCCTGCTAATACTAAACTCCTAGATCCACTTTTTCCATCTCAATCTCCTTTTACTTCCAATCTTTCTCCTGCTTTCAGCGTTATTGTCCAAGTCCTAAATATTCTGTGTGTATAGCTGCTCACAGGTTCTAGTCACGGTGCGTGTCCAATAGCTCCAAGTCCTACCCACAATCTCTGAACTAGTCATCCAATTTTAAGGATCTTTCCAGTCTCTAACCACTTCATACTAGCTCTCCTCACTGGATGTTTCTGATCCTTCTTCACTCCCTCCCCTCACTATTAATTTTCAGTCTCTGATTTCTTGCATTGCCTCAGCTTTCCCTGGTGCCACATCCACACTCTGTTTCTCCATTCACTGACTCCCAGTCTCGCTGTTTCATACTTACAGTCTCCTCTGACAACCAATCCTCCTCATTGCAAATTCTTGTCCAGCCAATATCCCTATTCTTCACTTGTCTCCTGGCTCTTTATTAACTTTAATTCTCCTACCTATTTCACTAGGATTATGCTGCCTCATCCAAATGGTAATCTCAGTATCCTCTCCTTATTGATCCTGCAGTTAAAACCTCTCAACTTTCTTCTCTCAGTACATTCTCTCCCCACACCTACACCGTAGTTCCTCTCCTTCAGCATCTTCCAACTGTTATCCCTGTGGTCACAGGGTAATAGCACAATACAGTCTCCATTAATTTCAAGATTCTTTGCCCGGACTTGCCTCACAGTAATGAAAAATGCTAATGAATCTAGATTGGAACATGCTTCAGTCAGATTATATGAGACCTCAGATGCCAAATTCTGAAAAGTCTCTATTCAGCTTTAATGAACTGACATTTTAAAATTTTTTTTAGGCTTAAAATACACTTAATTCGGACACATTTCCTAGGAATAATCAAAAGCATGCAACAACACATAGACCAACATGCCTATCAAATATTAAGTCCCTACTTTACTGTACCAGGAGTGTAGGACTTTTAAATCAAAGTATGTGGATTTTAATGTGGACAAAACATCTTTTTCTGTAGCCTTCTCAGGAGTGGCTTAAACACCTTAGCCAAAACATTAAAAAAAATTAAGTTCACTTTTAATGAAACGCTTATTCATTTGAATGAAATATTTAAATCCAAATAACTGGAGTTTGAAATTTGTAATTAACAGAAAACAAGATATTTTAATAGCATTAGTTCGCTCTAACATTAGATGTAATTAGCTATAGGTTAGCTTTATTTTTCCTTCACAAATTCAGCATTGCATTTGAGAACAGATTATGTCAACTGCATCTATAGAAAATAATGAAAGACTTCTAACAGAATACAGTTGTAATTTTGGAAGTGAGAACATATTCCTTGGCACTACAGGAATAATAATTCCTATATCCACTCCTTTACTCCCATAATATAAAAAAGGTGCAACATACAATATGGGATATATACTATATAGGATGTTTTCCTGATTCCATCATCATCATCTTATGGTGCTGAGAGGTGCTACCACCGCCTTAGTGGATCATAAATATAACTGATACGCTCAGACACTGCACATTGGTACCAACACACATTGTTCAGCCGACAGTATGTACTGTCGCTGAAACTTACTTGCAAGAGCTTTATCACATAATTTTAAAATGCAAAAACTTTCCAATAATGAAAGAAAACAAATGTTTTGCACTTGAAATGTTAAAACTGTCAAAAGTATATTTATTTGCATTCAACACTTTTCTTTCAACCCATAAGGAAAAAAAAAGTGGTAATATAAAAATTATAATATATATTATATATATAAAATTAATTATATATATAATTATATATTATAATATAATATATATAACAATATATTATAATAATAAACTACTGAATTTTATTACAAAAATTGTATCTGTCACTCACCAATTTTTTCATCCAAAAGCACAATTTTCTCTTGGGTAAGTTGCATTTCATATTTTTTCTTAACAAGGCTTCGCTGAGTCTCTGAAAGACTCTGTTCTGTCTTTTCATTCAATAAACTGGAAAAGCAGAAGCATTAAACAGGAGAATTCAGATGTTATATACATATTTTTTTTTCCTTTTTGAAATGTCACTAAAATTGCAAAAGTTAGGAAAAAATTAGATTCTTCTGTATATTTTAGACTATTTGGGGTATTTTATTAATGTTAACCTTAATCTCTGGATATTAAAGTCTGAATACTCCTGTAAAGAATCACAGAAAAGTAAGAAGAATTCTTTACAACAGGTGGACGTAAAAACTTCTCAAAAATTATTAAAATAAAAATCATCACTTGGGACATACATTGGAATGCCTGATCTATTTCAAGTTATACCCAAGTCATACGTTCAAATCATGTAGTAATATTAATGATTTTCAAACTGTTGAAAGAAACTGAAGAGAACTATCAGCCTGGTTGGGGGGGGCGGAGCGGAGGAAAAGATATTTTAGTAGCAGCAACTACTCTTCAACAACTCGATTTTTACAGTATGCATAAATCTGTCAACTTATTATAAAGCAGCAATAACTCAGGACTGGATCTGCAAAGGAGTTAATGTTATTTCAGAAATCACAGTATTCTTAGAAAGGTATTGTGGGCCAGCACAATATTGCACACTAGCACCCAGCATTCCCACCAATCAAAATCCAACAAAAAAAACTACAACATCCATGTGTCAACTACACCAGTCACTTGTAAGGACACATAGGTTTAGGAGAGTGTTTGCCTAACTGAATTATATTTAAGGAAATACAAGAGGAAACAGTCACAGTATCTTCTCTTGCAGTCCGTTCACTCTGTAGCCTAGTTCAGCCTGTGATCTAATCCTTCATATCTCTCCACACAAACTTCACACGTGATTGATCTTTCCCTCCAGTCAGTAAATTATCCTTTTTTATCTTGCACTCACTGACCTGTGCTTTCTTCCCTAAAGGCTTCAACAGAGTCTAGTCCCACTACATGCTTCTGAACATAGTTAGGAACTCCAGTTGAGCAGCAGGCCATAAACCCTACGCAAGGCTTCAGTTTTATTTCCTCTCATGAAAAAGCTCCAAGACTAAGAAAAGGATGCCTGACTAACCTAGTGGCCTTCTATGATGGAGTGACTACATCAGTGGACATGGGAAGGGCTACAGATGTCGTCTCTCTGGACCTCTGTAAGGCCTTTGACACGGTCCCCCACAACATCCTTCTCTCTAAACTGGAGAGGTATGGATTTGATGGGTGGACTGTCCGGTGGGTGAGGAATTGGTTAGATGGTCGCATCCAGAGGGTAGTGGTCAACGGCTCAATGTCCAGATGGAGATTGGTGA